TTGTTTATTGTTTCTTTTCTTTTTTTAACTGCACAGTATTTGAGTGATTGTATAAAGGAAAATGAAAATGTAATAAAAGAATCTTTGATAAAAAGATTTGCAACTTGTGATTGGAAAATGGAATGCCAAAGTTGAAACATTGGAAAATGTAGTTGGATTGCATGGCTTAGGAGAACAAAATGAAGTAAGAGATCAGCTTATCAATTTCTGCCACTCCAATGATTTTTTCATGGCTAACACAGTCTTCAAACAAACAAACTAATGCTTGTATAGAGGAACATCATTAAATATCAAATTGACCATATAATTTCTAAAAGAAACTGGATGAGCTCAATTATAGCATCAAAGACATGGCCAGGAGCTGACGGTAGAACAGATCACAAACTAGCCAAATGCAAATTCCAAATCAAATGGAAAAAGAAAGCTAACCAATTTCTAAATTATAATCTTGAACATACAAGCTTTTTTCTGGATTCTATTAACTGTTCTAATTTTCTTTTATCCCTTTCAGTGTCTGGACATCCCCCCATTCACTGTATCTTTACAATGTCAAAACATCTGGTATAATCTAGCTTCCTACAATAGATCCTGATTATGCTAGAAGACAATGAGTCTTGAAGGCATTTCCAATTATTTGTGAAACCCATGGAAATATTGCAATATTTGTTTGTAAACCTTTTTTCTTCTTCTTTGTGGGAACATGAGGCTTGTAGAAGCTTGACAATAGGAAAGATAATTTAAAACTGCCTGCATCATTATTTGCCCATTGCTGTAAAGGACACTGGAGATGGCCTTGAAGTTATTCAACAGCTATAAACACCAATTAGCTCTGAAAGAGAGAAACTTAAGAATATCCCACCTTTATTTTCTTTGTACAAGATATGGGGAATAGAATCTGTCAAGCTATCAATATTCTGTTATTACACCCTGCAACTATAGCATTGTTGTAGAACTTATTTCCTGACCTAGCACACCTTGAAGCCCCAACACCAATCTTGAAAGCTTCACTGCTGCCTGATCAGAGATGCTTTGAATCTTCCCTTTGATCATGGAGATGTCCTCAGATCTGTAGGTCACTCATTGCCATAGAACCGTGATGGCAAACCTATGGCACATGAGCCATAGGTGGCATACAGAACCCTCTCTATGGGCACACTCGCCATTGCTAGCTGCTCTACCGGGTTCCGTTGCACACATGACTGCAGGCAGCTACTCTTCTGGGTTCCGGTGCGCACATGTGTACTGGCTACCTGGTCTTCGCGTGAAGACCAGCTGTCTGGCGCGCATGCACATGACGGAACCCGGAAGAGCAGCTGCTCTCTTCCAGGTTCCGGTGTTCAGGCACACGTGCATGCTCCAGTTTTGGCAGGTTAGCCATCATGCCATAGAACAACTTGTTCAAACATAGTTATGACATCAGCAGGAAGTGGATATACAAATAACAAACCTTGGACAATGCCATTGCACAATTAACACAGCAGTTGAGACAAAGCTTGCCTCCGCAGGAGTCTGCAGCCTAGTCAATTTTTCTTCAATATCACTACCATGGAAGTTTGTCACAGAGGTTTGGACAACCCCAACACCAAT